ATGGATGGATGGATGGATGGATGGATGGATGGATGGATGGATGGATGGATGGACGGACGGACGGTTGGTTGGTTGGTTGGTTGGTTTGTATGGGAATTTTTACCTTCTTCCCAGTTCTGTATCATTGATTTGCTTTCTCACCCTCTCAGGTTCAGGTAAATCCCAAATATATCGTGATGGAATCAGACTTCACCAACAACGTGGTAAGGTGCAACGTTCACTACACCGGGCGCTATGTGGCCACCACAAACTGCAAAATCTCCCAGTAAGTCTCTGGAACAACTTTCTCTTTGGGAGCCTGGAAAGGCTGAGTCCAATTATTTTACAGGATGGTCTAGCATTGAGAGGACCACCATGAGACTCTTCGAAACAAATGTGTCTCCACTGTCCTGGGATCAGAGCTTGGACACTTGAAATCAGGTTCACTGCTAGTGAAGAGACAGGGTTAGTTTGATCCGAGAAAGAACCACCTGTCAAAATGGTGGGACTCTTTATTGGCCTGAAGTCATCTTCTCCCAGAGCAGATGATCTTCGTGAGTAAGATGGATCTCTTTCCTGCCCTTTTCCCTCCCACCCAGTGGTGGGATTCAAATTTTTTACCACCAGTCCTGTGGGCATGGCTTGGTGAGCATGGCATGGCTTGGTGGGCATGGCAGAGGAAGGATACTGCAAAATCTCCATTGCCTCCCCACTCCAGGGGAAGGATACTGCATAATCTGGCTATTCTAGCTATTATTTGGGCCGTTTTCAGGCTGGTTTTGGCTTGAAAAATGGCCCAAAAACGCCCGAAAAACAACCCTTATACATACATAATGTTATGTACATAATCATAATGCTCTTTTTTGAACGAACCCATAATCCCTTACGGGGTGGAGCCTAGGTGACTGACTGGAGCTAGCAGAGTGTTTTAATGCCCGGATGCTTTTCCCTGTCGCCAATGCTGAGTTGTAATTGGCAAATACAGTCTCATTGTGCCCCGAGAGAGAAAAATATCTACCTCTACCTAGGCTCGAACCCACAGCCTCTGGATTGTGAGGCAGGAGCTCCGCCTCTAGGCCATCGCACCATTCTAAGAGATGCCCGGCCTAATCTGAAAGTAATTCTGCTTGTTTCCTGCATTGGCCTCCGATTTTAGCCTTCCCTCTCTTGGTGTCTCCTTCGCAGGTCTTGATTTCAACCAGGATGGGAGCAGATCTTCCACCACCTCGCGTCCTCGTCCTCTCGTCTCCTGCAGAAAGCCTCCCACAAGGTGTAGCCCACCTGGGAGGGACTGGCCTCATCGCACCTGGGGGAGAGGGCTCTATACAGAGATGGGAATTCTTCCACAGCTTCTTCTTCTCCTTCTTCTTTTTTTTGAGACTATGTTAAAATGAAAATGTGTCACTTTAATAATACTTTTTATAAATACTTTTGTTCTGAATCTCGGCTGGTTGGTGTGTTTCCCAAATGCAGAAGGCAGCTCATTCGCAGGCCTGTGGATCAGGGTGGGTGGTTGGGTGGGGAAGAAGAGATCCAGAAGATAAGCTAAGGTGTAAATGCAGATCCAGACAGTCCTCGGCTTACAACGGTCCGTTTCGTGACCATTCAAAGCATTGCAAAAAGCCATTTTTTTCCCAGCGATTGTGGGTGCACCTCGGTACACCCACGTTACACCTATCCTCCGCGAGCTGCACTGGTTA